TGATGATGATGCTGCTGATGATGATGGTGATGATGATGGTATCCCGCTGATGATGATGGTGATGATGATGATGATGATGTTGATGATGATGACGTTGATGGTGTCCCGATGATGATGGTTGTGTTGATGATGATGATGAGATGATGATGATTTTGATGATGGTGGCCCGATGATGATGCTGATGTTGATGATGCTGATGGTGCCCGGATGATGCTGATGGTGACGATGATGATGGTGTCCCGATGATGATGATGGTCATGATGACGATGTTGCTGATGATGGTGGTGGTGTCCCGATGATGATGATCTGGATGATGTTGTTCATGATGATGACTAGATGATGATGATGATGATGATGATGATGATGATGATGATGTTGATGTTGATGATGATGATGACGGTTGTGTTTTGATGATGATGATGATGGTGTCCCAATGATGCTGATGTTAATGAGGATGATTTTGATGATGGTGTCCCGATGATGATGATGATGATGGTGATACTGATGATGATGATGCTGTTGATGATGCTGGTAATGAGGTGATGATGATGACGTAGGTGTCCGGGTGATGATGATGATGATGATGATGATGATGATGATGATGTTGATGACAATGGTGGCGATGATGTTGATGATGATGATGACGTTGATAGTGAGATCGACTGTGTTACTGGTCGCGGGATCGATAGTGAGACCGAATGTGAGATCGATTGTGAGATCGATAGTGAGATCAATAGTGAGATCGATTGTGAGATCGATAGTCGGATCGATTGTGAGATCGATCGAATGAAACAGATCGAGTGAGATCGAGTGTGAGATCGATCGAGTGAGATCGATCGAGCGAGACCGATAGTGAGATCGATATTGAGATCGATAGTGAGACCGATCGAGTGAGACGTTGGTTCCTCCCCCCCCCGGAACCTCCTTATCACCCGAAGGGTGGTCGTATTTATTTTTCTGCACGAATTATTCCAAAATCCCGCCGTCGCGCGGGATTTCTTGACAATTCATGCATGACTCGCGCTCTCGCGTAGAACTTCTTCGCAATGTATTCAGACGCCGCGCCATCGACACTCAGGAATCATGCTCTCGCTTTGGCTTTTTTTCACGAGTTCCAAGGTCATCGCGCTATCGCTTGAGACTTCCTCGCGTTTCATGCAGGACTCACGCTTCAGCAGCCCGCCTGCTTGACCTGGCCGCCTGGGCCCGCCTTCCCGACCCGCCCGTTAGGGTCTGCCCGCCCGATTTGTCCGTCTGGTTCTGCCAAGTGTTTTCTGTTCCTAGCCCCCCTCCTGCTAATTTCTCTCGTGCTCCATCCTTCTCCCTCCCCCTTCCATCCGTCCTTTCTCCCCCTGTTGCGCGGGCTGCGTTAAATGCACGTGGCAGGTCAGGAAGATATACTTCCAAGGGGGTACGATCGAAGTCGAAGAGGGCGGGTACCGAGGGATTGGGACTTACCTGTTGGATGGCACGTGAGCAGAGATGAGCGAAATCATCGTCGTTGCTGCTGCTGCTGTTGTTGCTGCTGCTATTGTAATTATTTTCGTGTTTGTGTTTGTGGTTGTGGTTGTGGTTGTGGTTGTGGTTGTGGTTGTGGTTGTGGTTGTGGTTGTGGTTGTGGTTGTGGTTGTGGTTGTGGTTGTTGTTGTTGTTGTTGTTGTTGTTGTTGTTGAACTCTCATTTCTGCAGAATATTATTGCTGATCCGCCCCGCCCCGTGCACGTTGTATTTTTTGATTGAAGTGCCCCTCCTGGGGCTCGCACCTGGTTTCTTATTTAAGAAAGTCTTGAGGGTCAAACCTTGTCGTTGGCCCCCCGGTTTACAACAACAGCGCATATTTTCTTACAATGCATTGCAGAATCGCACTCTCGCTCGGGACTTCCTCCCAACTTTCCACCGAATCGCGGCTCCCGCCTGGCATGTCCGGACAATGTATTGCATAATCGCGTTCTCGCTTGGGATTTTTTTGCAACTTGCCACAGAACCGCTTCGCTTGATATTTCCTAACACTTTATTCTCTTGCACAGGGTGTCTAGAGCTCCGACCATTTGATTCCGCGTCGCGCCCCCCCCTCCCCCGCGTCCCCAGCGCCAGAGTGGGACCCCCGCGCCGTGGCTTTCTGCCCCGAGCCCCCCCGCGTCCCCAGCGCCCCAGCGGGAGCCTCGCCCACTGCCCCCTCCGCCACGAACGCTTTATTTCGCGTCGCACCCCCCCCCCCTCCCCCGCGTCACCAGCGCCTTGGGCCCGCCTTCCCGACCCGCCTGTTAGGGTGAACCCGCCCGATCTGCCCGTCTGGTTCTGCCACGTGTTTTCTGTTCCTAGCCCCCCCCCCGCTGCTCTCTCTCTCTCTCTCTTTCTCGTGCTCCATCCTCTCCCTTCCCCTTCTGCCTTTATTCCATCCGTCCCGTCTCCCCCCGCCGCAGTGGCCGCATGAAATACACTTGCAGGCAGGAAAGCTATACCCCCAAGGGGATACGATCGAAGCACGCGAGCAGATACG